AAGTTGCACACCAGGCCAGCCCTTGGTGACTTTGCCAAGCCCAACTTTCAAGCCTGAGGTAGCAAGTTAACACTAAGGGGTTAAGCAGGAATAGCAGACGTGCTTACCTCATCATAGTATTTCACTATGTATCTGCAGATTTCAATCAAGGCCACTTTCTCATTGAATTCATTTTCATGTTTCTAAAACAGAACACAGTTCTGGTCACATAGTTCTCCTTTTTAAAACACTTGGAAGAAAACGAAGTTCCCAATTCTTAACCATACCTTAGATTCCTGAGTTAGAAATTCTTCAACCTCTGAAGTGGTCAATGGAGGCAGATCCCTGATGGCTTTATAGTATGCTTTCACCTCCTTCTTGTAGAGCGGAATGTCCTTAGCATAGAGAAGTTTATTTGTTGGTGCTTCCTTAAAAGAAAATATTTGAAGCCTTGTCAATTTTCACAGCACAGATTTCCTAAGGTTCCACCTCCACATAGTTAATTGCATCTAATTGTGTCTGTTCTCTGTGTGACTCATGTCTCTTTGCAGTGGTTATATGCAAGGAATCAAGGTTATGAAATAAAGATGAAGAACAGAGGCAGGACATCAGTAACAGCGCATTGTGTTTCATGACAGGTGCCACAGAATTATTTCTATTGGCATCAGGAGTGATGAACGTTTGTCCTTTAGACATAGCTTGCTTTCTTACTTCCTCGTCACCCCTCCCCGGATCTGAAAGATTGTGAAAGCTGAACCACGGGGCTTGAGGCTGATACTCTATTTACATACAAGATACAGCACTGCTGTGGAAAGTTCCCCTAGGGTAACATGCCAGAGAACCTTGCTAGATCCTGTCCCCCGGCAGAGGTTGCCCTAAAACTCTTTGGTCTCTACTACTCCTTTCGCTCAGGGGTTCATGGAGGGCTGACTGCCAGGTAAGCAGAGCCAAGAGGATTAATTTTTCTTCCCCAGGGCTTCAAGAACCCAGGGCAGCATTGACCTATCAGGCAGCTTTAGGCTCATCCGAGGAAATAAATGCTGATGTTTGTGGTAGGAGCTGAAGCCCCACCTGGAAACGATGTTTTCAGAATATAAAAGTGGGGGCTGGTAGCTTCCTGTCACTGCTCTAGTTTAAATTCTGGGGAATAAATGACATAACCATGTGACATCTTGTCACTACTGTTTCCACTATGTGATGAAATGATTTAAATATTTGCTTTCTGAGTGGCTAAAAATGTTTTAAGACAAAAGTCTAAAAATCGTGAAAGCAAATACATTTCAGTACTAAAAGGCCACAAGACGTTTACTGCATTGTAAACCTTTATCAGGTTTCAGCATCCCTTTTCAAATGGCTGATGGAAGCTGTTGTATCAACAGTGCTTCATAATGGATGTTAAGCATAGAAACCTAACAGACCATGCTCCTTTGCGCTTTTTCCATCAAGTAAGTGATGTGATTAGTTTTAATTCATGACACTTCGCTCCTAAAATAAGATAAGTAAGCTCATTATTTGTTATTTACCTTTAACAGATAAGCAGTTGATTCAGATCACATAGGAAATCAGTCCATTTTTATGTAAAATTTTTTTAGGCTAAAAAAATCTCTAGCCTGTTTTTCTTAGTAGTATAAGCCTGAGCAAATGCTTCCTATTTTGGTCCAAAGAAAAGGAAAATATCCTCAGGAAAAATGAACTATTTCTGATCCTCAGAGTTCTGGACACTATACTAAAGACCTTTTGAATGTAAGCTTTCTGGACTTATTACTCCAGTGAATAATTTTGCATATAAAAAGGGAGCAGCTAACAGGTGTGAAAGAAACTGTTTCAAACTTCAGAGCTCTTTCAAGTATTCTTACAGCTCTCGGTAGCTTTACTATGCGTGTTTTCTGCACATTGGTGTATGGCAGACAAAGTTTGGGCTACTTATCGAATAATGTTAATACTTTTCAGACTTTGTTTAAAAAGTCTTTAAAACTTCATTAAAGTCTTACAATTTCCACCCTCTTCCACATATTCTATAAATACACTGTGCAAAAAACTAACCGCAGAGAAAACAAGCAGAAGTTAACTATAAATATGGAATTCTAGTACCTGTACCTGTCTACTCTAGTAAATTCTTCAGTCTTGTGAGACAGAGGAACAAGAAATGGAAACCTGACTTAATTAGGCCACTGACAGTTTTGCCCCTGATGTCAGCAGATCCAGGACTTCATCCCTTAAATCATGATACAGTTGAAAAAGACACCGGTTGAGAAGATAGCGAAAGACTGGAAGGGCGGCATTACCTTCCCCAGTGTCTGTTCTGCTAGAGAAAAGGCATCCATGAAAGCTTGTGCGATTACAGACAAACAGCCATCTATATGGGAAGTCTTCTTAATATCAAAGACAAATTGAGGATTCTTCAGTATGTTCACCCAGAAGCGAAGAGGAAGACTAGACAAAGAAAGGACAAGCGTCTTTAATCACTCAGGTCGCACAACTGCTTTAAAACTGTAGTTTAATTGCACTGCACTCACGGAAAGAAGCACGTTTCTGGGCTGCTTATTCATGTTAAAAAAAAGGGATCAGGGAACAAAAGCTATAGAGTAAACACATCAGTCAGTCACCCCTCTATCTTCCAATAATGCTCTCAATCTGTAGATACTTCTTTCTGAGTGTGAAGTCCTGGAAGCTACAATGGTTTGTACTGGTATCCAACCAATACACTAAAATTACTGGGATTCACAAAGCCCAACCACATCTTCACTCAGACATGTCAAAATCTTAACCTTCCGATCATGGGTGACCTGTTCCATCTTTGCAACTACGCTTTCAGAGGGTGCATGCACTCCTGTGCGTACCATATGGACATACCTGTTTGTTTTCCATATATGGACCACGTCGGGGTCAGTAATTTTTTTGCTCTCAGCCTGGGCATCCAGAAAGTCGAAAAAGTACTTGATGGCAACGGGTGCTTTATTGTTGGGTAAACTCCAAATGCTCCTGAAGAGCTTTTCAACAACCGAATGAATTGCAACCTGAAGAGTAAGAAAAGGCAGAGCGTTATTATTACACAAGAACAGAACAGGATTTCTTTTCTCAGAGATCTGAGTGTGTCCCAAGGCAACCACACGCAGAAGCTACAACAGGCTTGTAGCAAACTTCTAGGCCACAGGTTACTGGCGAACAAGACTGTCAATAAAAAAAACGAAACTACGAATACACCATAACGAGCTGCTTCCAAATGTCATGTGTCCTTATCGCTTTACCGACAGGAGAGCTGTGGTGAACCTTGTGATAAAGTGTAGGTGGAAGGAATCACTTGCTGAGTTTCCTGCACAAAGACAACATCAACTCTTCGGATACTGTTGGCACTGTTGCTAAAGGCATTTGGAACTTGTGACTGGAAGTAAGAGGGAGGTGAACAAAAGGAGTTTAACCAGTTTCCTAGGTCTTCATGGTGCCAGCTGGGAGACATGTTGAACACATGTGCTCATCAACATTTCACAGTCAAGTGACCGTGGTGCTTGACCTAACTCTAGGATAACAGTTTTGGGTGGTATACAAAGACACTAATATTAGAGAGAAGAACTGAAAACTGGGTATTTCTGATCCAGAAGTGAAGATATTTGCTCACAAAAGCAAGGGCTTGGTTGCTGATGAACTCACTGACATCATCACAGAGTATTCATAAGTAGAGGCAAACAAAGCAAAACATTGTTTTGTGCTCTTTTTTTTCACATCTGTTCTGAAGCTCAGTCCAGCCCAATCTTCTCTCAATAAGAAGGAGTTAAGTGTATCCCAGGGCCTTGATGTGTTACTGCCAGTTCATTTGCACATGGCAAACTCTGCAATTGTGTCTGTGTGCGTATGGGGAGAGAGAGAGACACAGAGAGACATGGTTCAGTGCAATTTCCTTTAGTGCACAGCGTATCATGGGTGGAATTTAACAGTGAAGGATATCACAGCACTCTTCTTCAGAGCACTATCCTACTTTGGAGAAAGAGATGATTAATTTAAAAGACTGTTTCTTAAGAGCCTCATCTTTCCTTTTGTACTTCAGTCTTCCACCAAAAGATATTACTGGTTTACTCCAGAAATTCCTAAGGGCTTATGTTAGTTTCCACAGCTAATGAGAAATGACCAGTCTTCACTCTCACTTTGTGTAGTGTCCCAAATTACTTCAGATGCTATCAACAATCTAATTAAACAATGATTGATAGATTTTTAAATGCGAGAAGGCCATAATCATCATGCCTTCAGGCCTCTTGTATCGCACAGCTCTCAGTGTTGTGCACTGATTAATATTTTAAGTAATATTCTGTTGCAAAGAGTTTTATAACCCTTTTGAGTAAGTCCGAAACAAGACATTACCAGAGGGAGTGAGCAGGGGTTATTCCCAAGGAATGTGCATTGCATAAATTAGGTAATTGTATTATAAATCCTAAGGATTTTGTTTTTAAAATTAATCTTGTTATTTTGGATGCTTAACTTGAGACCCTAAAATATTATTTCATTTCATGGGCAGTATTTTGTGAAACTCAGGCTTTGGAACTTGTCTCTAAGCTGAGCAAACTGCAATAGAGAGTGAGGAGATCGCTAATGAAAGCTGTCTCTCCAGAAGGGATCGTTCTCACTCTATGGGACCCAGTGGCACAACTGACTTTCTATAAGCTCAATAACTAGCTTTTTTCTTTAACTTGAGCAAAAAAGGTTGTGCTTACTGAGGAGACAGAGAGTGCAAGTAACAGACAATTTCAGAACTCTAGTATTAGAAAACCTGAAGTGTGGCCGATTTTGCAAACGGTCATAATCCATAGTTAGCACAGTGATTTTTACAGGCTACCTTCTTATTTAACATTTGATATACATGCAGGAAGCCTGTAACTTCTGCTTTAATTTCTGTTGTGCTGAACTAGCTACGCCTAACATGAGCCCTCCCTCAAAACGAGCCTTTACAGTTTACCTTGGTTGACAGAAGCTTTGTCAGATACATTTCTTTCACTTTGAATTTTTGCTTTCCTTTGTGACCTGCTCCTTTCACATCTTTGTTTGCTTCAGAGTCTGGTAAAATCTGTCATGAAGAGATTAGAGAGATTACACAGATACAAATGCAGCTCAGTATTAAATCTACCACTTAACAGTGTAATGACTGAACTCACCAAATGACAGTGTTCATCTGAGTAGTCCACATCTAAACAACAGAAAGCAGAGAGCAAACAGCCATTAATCAAAGACTCAACTGCAAGCTTGTGAATTCTGCTGGGCTCTGGGCTGTGCAGCAGGTTGCACGTCAGGATGCCGAGCAAGCAGGCTCGGTGTCATGCTTTCCTGCCTGCAGTTTGGGGAAGCCTCTGAGAAATGCACAGGTCCTTGCTCACCTCTCCAGTGCCAACCTGTAGCTGTGAACACTAAGCTAAGGCATCATCATCTGCCGCTGGGGTAAGCCGGCAGCAAATCACAGCTCCTCTGAAAGGAGGACAACAGACAGCAGAGGAGATGATTGCATTGGTTTAGTCTCTGTTAAGAGCACTCAGCGCAGGTGAGTTGAGGTCAGGCTTGCAAGCAATGCCTGAGAATGGACAACCCTCTTCTTGCCAAGGGAGAGAGCAATGCCATCCCAGCGACTTGTACCTCAGGGACACATCTCTCCTAACTCTAGATGTCCACTTTGACAGTGAGGTGAATCACACACTAGAAGTGTCTTTTTCTCACCAGGGACTACAGAAAGTCCACCTCCCCCAAGACACCTGCTGGGTTGGAGTAACCTGCATCACAGGGGTAGCTGAGATGAACTGATGAAGGTATTCAGTCTTTAACTCCTGACCTGCTGTTGAGATAGCCAAGTCAAAGCTTTCAGAAACACAGCCAAGAGAATAAGGAAAATTCCAAAACTGCATTTTTTTGTTATGCCTCTGGACAGCGCACCACTATGTCTGTGATGCACAACGCCGGGCACTGGAGCAGGTCATGTTCCCTATGGCGGTCTCACCAGCCAGCACTTTGTGCCACTCAGGCTTCCCTGCCCAGCTTTCCTGTCTATGAGTCTGTATCTTTAAGCACTCATTTGCTGAGCACTCTAAGTCCTTCTTTCCTTTGCCTTCTTCCCTCCTTCTAGGCCCACTGTGCCTGCCAGAGGCCCAGAACGAGGGTAACACGGCTCTTAATTTGGCTTAGCTATACTGAAGTACCAATTTTTCTGACCACCTATTGACCAAGATACAATCTGTCATAGCTCAGCTCTCTGCATTCCCAGCCTGTTCTCCACGAAAGATTAAATAGATTTCAGTTCCTTCATTACCTGATCGAGTATTTGTCTTCTTTTTAAAGACTTTTATGGTTGCTCCATTTGAAATCTGAAAGCAAAAAACAAATGAATCTTGCTGAAACAAAAGTGTCTAGAGTTTACAAAACTCTCAGTTTCATTTCCTCTGTCCTTAAATCCATGGCAGTGCAGGAGCACGCCAGCCCACTTCTTTCTTACCCCAGTGCACAGTGGCTCGGCAGGCAGCCAAGGCTGGGCTTTCAGGCACGAGCAGCAGCTGCAGTTTGTCAGCCTTACCTGGTAAGGTGGGAAGGCAGCGCTTCCGACAAGCTGGCCTTTAAGGCCTTTCCCTTTCTTTGATTTTTCTGGTTCAGCCCCTACTTCGACATTTTCCTTTTCACGTACTGCTTTGTGCTATTCCTTGCACCCATCTTTCTACAGATTGCCTGGCCTGAATTCTCTGGTGCCAGTGCAAGCGGATCTTCTGGTAAGGTGAGGCAGGGAGGGGAACACAGGGATGACTTCCCTTCTGGCCCCCTTTCTTCTAGCTCAATCCATTCCAGAGCTCTCCCCCCCATGCCCCACGGAGGGGCCATGTTGAGAGTCTAGCCTGGTGCTATTGAAAATAGTGCCCAAGAACAATTTTCAAACTTGAGCTCCCAAAGTGAGCAAAATCTTTACGCTCTGTGGACTGTAAAGTCAAGATCCACACCTAACCACCTTGGGATTTCTAGGAAGAATCTTCCCCCTCTCCTTCCCTGAATTTATAGTGCTGCCAGGATAGTAACTATTATCTTTAAAAGAAACCAGCAAGTCATGCTTTTGTTGTCAAAGAATAACTCAAAACCAGCTCCCGCTGAGAACTACACCACTGCTCTGCTGTCAAATGTTGAGTCTTGCCAAGTGCTAGAATACTTCCCTCTATAATTACAAAAACAACTGGCCAGTTCTAGGAAGGGATCCCTGCCAAAATAATTGAAGTGTTTTTTAAACCTTGGCAGCCAGCCTGGTGTGAGAAACCAGTTTAAACATTAAGATACTCTATCAAAAGCTGTGTCTTGCGCCAAAGAAATCTGTGCTTACACTTGCTCCTGGAAAGTAAATGCGATCTATTTTATACGTATGATCTTTTGCAGGGTTTCTATTTATCATACTGTGTTTCGGAGCTCTTTCAGATAACACAGAGCACTTAAGTGGCAATGTGCTCTAAGGCTAGCTTGTGAGGTGACACAAACACCCAGAGAGAACAAGAGTCCTCCTTCTTGGCCCTGAAGATAGGTAAACACGAACAGGGCTACTCAGAAGCTTACTCCCTCCCAGAGCTGCATGAGCAATGCACTGCCTCCACTCCCTCTCCAAGAAGCAGGAGACCAGCTCAATGCTGAAATGTGTCAGTTCCTGTCCTGAGGGAGATGGGCAGAGCTCAGAGCGAGAACGGTGCCTCCCTCCAGGAACCAGAGGCGTTGGTGCAGTGCAGCCACGATCCAAGCTCCCACTTTGGGTTTTATTTCTGGGACAAATGCTGCTTTTAGCACTGAGTGGAATGTGCTTTCCCTTCTTTATCATTACTGCACTGGCGATACTCACTGTTTCTTTGAGACCAATTAAAAACAAAAAGCCAAAAACCTTCTTTTTGGGTCCTACTGCCTAAATCACATTTCATGGTGAGCTCCTCCCATGGGCACCTCAAAATACCGTTACTTTGCCAAATGCATTACTGAGGGGGAGATCTGTTCAGGTGCACACAACATGGAGTACAGCTACTTTGCAAAACAGAAGATGTAATAGCGTGGCTCTATGCCTCTTCCTTGTTATCTAGACCTCCTGTCCTCCTATAACCTAGTTCTGGTCACATATTCAGGTTTGCTCTCTGGGGCTGTGCCTGCTCCTGGAACGTGAAATACTGCTACAGGCTGACAAATTTGAGATCTGTGACTGGACAGCAGATCTGAAGGCGGTTCTCTAGCTCTCCTCTTGTGTGGGAAACAAGACATCATGATAATCAGGAATTTTATTGTCAAGGCTTGTTGTTATTCTCATGCAAACAATAGTGCAGCCCTCATAAATCACAGCAATAACCCTACCAGGAGCAAAAAATTGGAGCAAAAGGAGCACAGAAGTCAGAGGCACATGGAAGTCTAATAAGAGTATAGTGGATTTTTCTCCCTTCAGAAACATCACACAAAAATGCAAACATCCCCTACTTGTACATTTTAAAAATCAATGTAGAAACTAAGTCTGCTTTTTCATGAGTGGCTGGTGATTCTGAGATCTTTACACGCTCCTTACTCCCATGCTCCAGTATCTTAAAAAAGATTTGACAGTACTTCCCAGTTTCAAAAATCTGGTTACTTTCTAGCATTTAAGGCTGGCAAACAAACAACAACAAAAAACATCCAGGCTTGCCACAAAACTCTAGGCACTCTTGAAATCCACGTTAGAATTCCTTAGGCAACGTTACTACCCTCATGCTGTGTGTGCAATGTTCCTTTTTCTTGCTAACTAGACATCTTTAGATCCCTTTTTGCATTAATACGCGTACAAGAAAATAAACTAGATGTGCTGATACTTGCCACTAAGCCACCACCTAAAATGTCACTAAGCTTCTGCCTAAAAGGTACATTATTTTGTCAGTGTCAAAAAAAGTGAACTAAAATACCTAACAGAGATACCCAGCACAATTTCCATAAGGCAGTTGCTAAGCTATAATTAGTGTAGTTACAGCTTTGCAGAAACAACTGAACCTCCAACCTAACTTGCATCTGCCTGCAGAAACCACAGATGAAAACACGGGCTTGGACAAAGATATCCAGGGATGACAGTGACAAAATGGAGCAGACTCATCTGCCATGGCACCCATGAGCCATGGCACACCATGTGCTCTGGAAGTGCAAAAGCTGCCAGGTAAAATTAAGGAGCACTTGCAATAGCTGTCTGCAGTAAAGAGGGCGGGTATTATCACATTAGACAGAAGTTCAAATGAGATCAAATCAAATCTAATCAGATTCAAATCTAAGTTGACCTTTGCTGCATAGACTCTGACTGCAGCACTACAATGTCCTAATTTGTACAAAACCTTTACAAGTGGCGTGGAGGGAAGTTTCGTGTTAATTTACAGACAAGATTCAAGCGAGGCACAGGAAAAGCTGTATTTAAGACACTGGATGGTGACTCAGGACATCTGGCTTCACTGCTGTCTCCCTGGGAGGTAAGGAGAGCAACAAATGGCTACAGAAATCTGTAAAGTGACTCCAAATGAGCTTGCTCCAGATCTGAGCAGCCTTGTGCTCTGTCCAAGCTACCAACAGTCCTGCTAGGAGTCCTTGTTCCTCTCTGTGGATGCCACTCTATTTACTCACGCAGACAGCAACGTGTTCAGGGCTGGCTCAGGTTTCTCAACACCATGCTGCATTGCATGGCATAGACCTACACTCATCAGCAAAACTAAATAAATAAAAATTGATTATCATGTTAAGAGCCAGACTTTCAAATTCAACAACGAGGCATGAAGAAAGCTCACTAAAAGCACTCAGCATACTAACCTCATTTACAAAACCTATCTGTAAGCATCACAATGTGACCTACCATATCACCTGAGGCCAATCATCTGTTGCACATTTTAACCTAGTCTCTCACCCTCTATTTTGACTAGTGTCAGTGGAAACTCCTTAGGCAACGCTGCTTGCTATGCTTTTGCAACATGCTACACACAGAAGGGCTCTGCCATCAACTTCAGCCTGGTGTGTTGCTGCAATGATATAAAGATTGCTGCAGCATTGAAAAGGTCTGCTTTACAGGTGCAACTGGAAAGGGAAAACTTACAGTACAAGTGGCAATAGTAGATGGAAGCAGAAATAGAGAGAAAAAAGGAAGGAGAATGACATAGGAGGTCTCAAGAGAAGAGTGAGCAAATTCATCAGTCCTTTTTATTCTGACTCTCAGTGAGCTTTCACCAGTATCACTACCACCTGTTCAGATAATCAAAATATGAAGTGGGAAGAGGTAAACAATTACTCATGGTGCAACCAAAACTCAGCAGCAGAGACCAGAAAAGACTCGAGGCAATGTTCATAGCTTTAAATCAGATGCTCTTTTAACTGAAATGCTCAATAGAAATAACAGTTTACCTGGTATGCTTGAACCAAGCAACCCTGCAACCTCTGAAAAGTAACAGAAAACATATGACTCATTGGCAAGAAAGCTGCGTGTCACACATTTCTTTACTTCTGTTGATGATGCTCAGCTATCTCTTCAAGATTTTGATCAGCCAAGTTACTTATGTGCAGACAGCATTTGGGAGTTGGGGAGAAATTGCTTCGCGATTCATTGGTATGGCTTCTGTGCTTACCTCGTAATGACCGATGGTATTTAGCTTCCTTATCCCATCCTCCATCACCTCTGAGGAACCATCGATATCTAACAATTCTCTTTGCTGCTCCTCAGACACAAGTTCTGCAGTATGACAGCAACAGGAAACAATTACATCCCAATGACATTCTCGCTGTACGGATGTTTGTAAAGAAAAACAGCACCTAACCATTTTTGGACCAGTGGCTCCCAACTAAGCTGTTTCTCTCTGTGCCTGTGCTAGGTCACATGAGAGTAGTTTTGCACTCCCACACTACAGCTTCCTTTTCTGGGGTGACAGCCTGGATGGCTTCCATTACTGCAGGCTATTGCTGCTTCACTTTGTGTTGGTCAAGGCAGAGTTTTTGGAGGTGCTCTCACCTAATCTCGCTATTCTTTTGCACAAGTGCGCCCTGGTGTTATGGACATGTTGGGACTAGAAGAAAGGTTTCACAAGCCACTTCTAAGAGACCACCAAAATGAGCTGTGTAAGACTGATCTAGTATTTGTGAAGGGTGGTCAGGCATTGATGGTGGGTATAACCATCAGATATAAGAGTAAATTATCATCGCTTGCCAGTGCAGCCACTGAGAAGGTGAGAAAGTATCAACACCTTAAAGAGCAAGTCTGGGATGTGATGAATGCCAATAATATGGAGTTTGTTGGATTTCCTACTGGAGCACATAGGAAGTGGTGTAGTGGGAACTACTGGCTTCTATCTGACTTTGTGCTCTCAAAAACGCAACAAGAAAAGATGACTCAACTATTCTCCAGAAGGACTTTATTTACATCTGTAGATATAGTACATATCTTTGCGAGTCACACGCAAACGATTGTATAGACCTAAACTGACTGTAAATGAACTCTATTCGTGGGTTCTCATGATCGAGGGAAATGTAGGACTGTTGGAAGGAAGGGGATTAGGAGGGATAATAGGTAGGGACTAAAGTACTTGGTAATCATGACGTGTCATGTTATCCACTGACAAAATTAATCAACTGGCTCCACTTAGGTGGAGTGGCCACCTTACTTAACCCAGAAAAGGAACACAGAAATTATATGTGTTCAATACATAACATCTGTTTGCTAACTGTGCTGAAGTCCTTGCAGAAGTGAAGCAGATGTAGTTCCAGTGTTCTACCTGGTAGCTTAAATGACCTAGAATTTCCCCAGCAACTCCTTACAAAAGCTATGTTCTGCCTAAATGCTAAAAAAAAACAAAGCCAAAGGTAGGAATTCCTAAAAAGAAAACCCCACAGACAGACCAGTGAACTCCATGAAAATATAACACAGTGACACTCTCTTACCAAGACCAATTTCATCCAGCTGAAGACCATAGAGAAAGCCATTCTTATTAAGGAAAGCCTGAAGGCTCTTCTCCTTGGCTTGGCCTATGGTATCGCAGTCCAGAACATTAACTTGGATAGTTTGACAGGCATCTCCACTCTCATTTTCTGGGATTTTTTCAAAGATAATGTTCACTGTCTGGGGAAAGAAAGAATAACTGTAGGTTATTTTGACCTACGGGGAACACCTGGCATGGAAAACCTACAAACTCCTGACAGCAAACACGGGAGATATTCATCATATTTATTATTAAAGGTATTTCAAACAAAGATTTGAATGAATTACACAATGAAACATTTAGGATTGCTCACGTACGAAGAATCAAAGATACACAGCTATATTTCAAAAAGTGTATTTAGTATTCTGCTTTTGTGCAAATCTATTTCAGTGAATTACCAAAAAAGAAAAGACAGGAGACCAGGAAAAATTGCAATGCATGTTCTAGAAAACCCAGATCTTTTATTTAAAATGAATGCCTTAAAAGCCAAACTGTAAGCGACTAGAGATCTGATAAGGTTGCTAAGTAAGTCGTCATGGTAAGCATGATGAGTGATCTTGAGTGGATAGGAAGCAGTGTTAAAATACATATTTACATCAGCAGATTATGCCGAGTACCTTATATCATACAAAAAAATACACCTCCCCTGGAGACATCAACAAGCTGTCTGCATACAGCCACATCTCTAGAGGCAGCAGAGACAAGGCTACTGCAGGAGCAGTGGAAAGGGAAAGCTTGCAGCAGACAGAACCCAAAGAGGTCCAGATCTGCACAGAAAAGTGTGATTTATTCTATTAGCTATTACTCCAGGTCAAACACCCACACAACCTGTTCAGTTACAACACCCCTGCCCTTTAACTCACAGATGCTCTTAGCTGGGACACAACTCATCTACTAGGCTGCACACAAGGTGAGTATGGGCTAGGAGGAGGTGCCAATGAGACTGGGTGACCATCTATCTCTGGGAAATATTTTTAGTCAGGTTGTATTTCTGGCAGATCAATTGCTTCCAAAAGGCAGGGGAAAAAGGGATGAGCATAGGATTGCTAATGCCAAGTGATAATAGCACTCATTTCCAGCGACACAGCCTGCTCCTTGCAGAGACATCACTGTTCAGGCTACATGGATACAGACATTCTGCTGCAGATGCCTGGGGACAGAATTAAAACAAGTGTTTTAGGTGTCAGTCCTTGACTGCAAGTAGCATAGGAAAATCTACATTCTTGAACCATTCTGGCTGTTGGACATTTCGGGTATAATACGTATCTTTTGACTAAAATGTGAGCACTGCAGGTGTGGCTCAGTGAAGGAGTGATCATTAGAAGAGGAAGCAACCAAAAAAAATTTTTTCCCCCTGCGGTCATGTGAAGGAAAGAACTTCTGTCCAGGTTGCTGCAGGGACAACTTTTCTCTCTTCTCAGAAAAATGGGTAGTTATTCATAGTTGTAGAATGCTATTTTCTGCTTTATTACCCAGCAAGAGTGGAAATTACGACACATCGGTGGTGAAAAAAGTAGTCCAATGAGACAGAAATTAACTTCACTGTTTCTACAGAAGCTAAAGGAGTATTAAAAACAGGGTTGCAAAACTCTGAAGATCAGGATTTAACAAAGACGAGGATGTAACTGAAGTAACTGAGAGTAATTTAATCAGGACACCGAGATGTTTAATTGTGAGGAAAATGAGTTCATGGAAAGGACAGACGGAATGGAAGAGGAAGAGATGTGGGAATAGTGCCTGCAGAAGGAGAAGCAGACTGGATGCCATGCCTCAGGTTGAAATTTCATGCGGAAAATTAGTAAAAAATATATTGGCACAGGAATGAGGGAGTCATGCTTGGTTAGGCCCACAGACCAACTGAACAGACAGCAGTCCTGTCCTTGACTTTGCCTGCCCTGAGGTCATGGTCTTGTACGATAAAAATGCGGACTGGGACTCAATTGTGTTTTTTTCTTTGGAAAACTCATTTTAATCACAGTCTTTGCTGGTCCCCGAACTGATCTTTCTGGAGTCGCTGCTCACAGTTTAACTGATCTTGATTTGTCCTCACATCCTTGGAAGCATTCCCTTCTTTAGTTGATCCTTTCCACCTAACACTGCAATATTCATGTTCCTGCTTCTCCTTCGTTTCCTCTTCCTTTCAGACTGTCAAAAGAAACTGTCTTTTTCCCTGCTGTGTTTCCTTTTCAGCACATGCTCTCACACAGATTGCACATAAATGTGCAGTCTCTTCAGTTATTAGAGAGAGTCCTCCCATCCCCACTCAACTCATGGTAGGGTGACAAGACCGTAAAAAGAGACTAGTCCTTTATGTTGGTGGGAATACAAGTCAGTTACGGTCTCCTTAATTGAAAGTATCCACAATGTGAGGATAATAACAATACTTTACAACTCAAAGAAGTGGTCAGATGGGAAGAAATATTCAAATGCATAAAAGTCTCTAAACCAAGAGAGCCAGACAGTTTTGCTGATATGATTTCCTGCACAAGTTAATCTTAAGTGATGAAGCAATTGATGGGGAGCTAGGAAAGTCGGTTATTATTATGTCTCCCCTCTGTAGCTGAACTTTTCATAAATCAGATTCAACCTGTCTGACAGCACAATCCCTGGCTTTAGAAACCATTAATCAGAGGCTGACAGTCACAATCATTGCATTTAGACACAAAGTGTAAAACTGGAAAAAGAATCAGAAATGACTGTGAAATTATGAAAGCCCTCTTATGATCAGCTCTGAAGGCTAGAAAACATTTAAGAGAAATCACAGGAGGACACATGGAAGTCATGAGGAAACATCATCAGGCCGTTCTCTAAGCTCTCTCATTTTGCAAAGGAAAAAAAAATACAAGTTAACTTAGGGGAAGATTCAGGAGGAAGTTACAGGACATGGTTCAACCTAGTAATATCAGGAGCTGAGACCTCGTACTCATTAGTAAATTAGTGGTTAGCAACACAAAGTCACAGTGCTCTTCAGCAAAGGCTTAACAGAGGTTGCAAGAATTGTTAAAGGCTACTTAAGGAAAACAAGACAAGCATCTGCAACTACTTTTATAGGAACTAACTCGGAACCTAGCTAAAAGACAGTAACAAATTTTAAAAACTTTTTTTTTTTTTTTACACATGCAGTGACGTAATAATGACATTTAAAGACAATGTTTATAGATTCTTTCTAGATTTGTAGTTTTCTTGAAAATCAATTTCAAACAATGAATTATTTAGTAAAGCTATATAATAACCATAACAAATAATAAATGAGATGTGATTTAATAAAGAAATGTGACAATACCATATTTTCTTAGAAGTAAATGAAAAAAATCAGCTGGGATATTCAAGGGCTTTTATTCATTACCCTGTTCTCTATGCATCTGAACAAAGCATATTTCCATTTATCAGACAGACTGAAAAAACAAGGAAAACTTTTGATTGGTAAAGTTAGAGACTTATGTAAGGAAGGCAGCACCATGGCACATAGCACAACGAAATTGCCTTAAACCTAATCCCCTGCCTCTGGGACTACGGAATACAATAAACAGGAAAAATCAGGCTGATCGTATGATCCTTCTGTAGCAGCCAGAACCATTACCCATGAAGAGGTTATAGAACACCTAACAAATTGGCATAGAAAACACTACAGGAGTTAAATTTAGGCTAGATGGGCACTATGCAAAGCAAGGGTTGTACTCTCGATGCTACAGAATGGTACTCAATCCGTATCTAATTTGAAGACTCCCCCGTAGCCAACATCTGCACCGCTCACTGCCTAGCAAGGGCTGTTGCGTCCTTTTCTGCTGATGAAAATCCCCATATGTCACATGCTTTTAAGAGCTTCCTTATTTCTCACAAAGCGTGCCTACTAATACCACAACCATGGCGTCTTACTAGGAAATTGGGTTCCCTGTCTCTGCTTTACTCCCTTACAGCCCTCCCACTTCTTCTAACACCCTTCTTGTAACTCATAAAGCAGTTGCACACTTTAAACAACCTTCCACCACGTGGCCTTGCTTCACTTTCAATAAAAGGCTATTGGCTGAACAAGTGAATTAGATCATTTCTTCCCATCGAAATATGCAAACTCATTTCAGCGAAGAATTCAACAGCCCAAATTCCTTTTTTTTAAAAAAAAAAAAGCAGTGACTATCCAAAAGAATGCCAGAGCACCAAGTCTACCATATGAAGAAGTCCCCCTTGGTTTTCCACAGAAGAGATTCTCCCATGCCAGGATGGCATTGTGTAGCTTTTCTATTTAAAGTGAAACACTTCAGTGAAATGATAACACTCAGCTGTGCACCGTGCTTCTTCCTTAGTCATTGAGCAAATTATCCACCGAGGGGTGCAGCTGCTTGTCTGCCTGTGAGAAACAGGCTTGCTTGCTCAGTCTGCGAAGAGGTTCCACAACACACTCCAGCCTCTTTAAAGGCGGTTTTATTTCTCAATACTCAAATATAAGCACAGCGTGAAACCACACAGCTCCTCAGCTCACACTAGACCAGTGCTTTTAGAAGCATCTTTCCTTCAATTCCTCTGCTTGACTATTTACTTCAGCAGCCAATCTCTGTTCAATATCTGACCCTTTCCAGCACAGAGGGATAACAGTAGGGGGTTGGCTGGTCCCTAGGTCCATGACCTTTTTAAAAAAGGCATGGAGCCCAGCCAAGGGACAACTCCAATACAATTAAAAACCAACATGTTTCTTAGTTCTCTTTTTTCCCTGATACAAATGGCCTGAATTTTAGAAAACCTGTCCTGTTCTTCCTTCTTTATCTACGCCCAGTGCTTCTTCCTTCTCCTGTCTCAAGAGTTTATCTGCATAGTGGAGTGTTTAGGAGAAGATCTGTGGAGTTTCCCTTGATTTTTAGGAGCCTGTCTGTATCCTGCTTTTATTGGCTTGGAACTGAAGTCCCAATCCTGAAAGGAAAGATCGGCATGCAGAGTGCCTACACCCTTGTTTGTGCCCTGCCACTGACTTGAGAGTTGAACTCCCTACCAGATGCAGCCCTGTGTCCTCAAGTGTCATCACAGCTTAAAAATCTGGTCTGCAGATGTGCTTCAGTGTCTTTCTACCACCCTCTTATTAGCTGTGGTTTTATACTTTGCTCTGAAGAGGTAGGTTTTAATGTACCGCTATTGTGGGGCTATGGA